CAGCCTCTTCTTTGAATGTTCAGCCCAGGTGCTACCTTGTCTGTGAAACCTTCCCTGCCAGTTCTCTCCCTTGCCACTTCCAATGTTACTGATGATTTTTTCCTTCCTCAAATTAGTTTTATTTTATCTGTATATTTTATCCTTTTGGCAGAACATAATCTTTGTCTCAAGGACTTTTTCCTTTTTCTTTGTATTCCTAGTTGGATTTTGAATTGAATTATTTTGGAAACATAGTTCCTGACTATTGAAGACTCCTGCAGATGGCCAATTTCATTAATTTTATGTTGGTACTTAGCTTCACTTTCAGAGAATTGAATTCTCTGATCTTATTCCCACATTGTGGGGATGTACAGACTGTTTGACGTGCATAGATGGATCTCTGTGCACTGGCTGTACTCCAGTGGAACTGAAACCCAAAAGAAACAATCTGCAACCAGCATTTCCCTAATTATTCAAAGCCATTTAAGAAATTGATTGATATTAGCTACAGATTGCATCCTCACTTTCCCCTGGCACCTTTATCAGGTATGAATGCTGTTTGATCCACAGAGTGGATGATGTAGTGGGTAAGGTATAACATGTAATCATTTGAGGTGATGGATTGAGTGGTTCATAAAAACTGAGTATTTTGGAGGATCAGGTTTATTTCACAATGCATAGAATCTGATCCTAATTGGGAAGCAAAGAGCTTACTGATCTTAAATTTGTAGGATAAAATCGCTGTATTGTTGACATGCCTCATTTCTCTCTTCTCCCTTCTTGGTCCCTCAGCATCTCAAAATATTGGAAAGATTAGGTAAGTAAAATTGAGGCTCCTACACACTCTTGCCTTTCTTGTCTTTCCTCATCCTTCAAATCATCATTTTCTAATCTCCAAAGAAATCTTAACTATAATCGTCTTTGTCTAATTTTTCCTTTCTAAGTTTATAGTGTTCATTTTCATTCTCTATGCCTGGAATGCCTGTACTTCCCCAACTATTAAGCATACAGTCTGTCTGTTTAAAATAACACTTTCCTGGCTAAGTAGAAGTGTCTTTTTAGAATGTAAAGCAGTGTAGTGTATCAACCACGTCAACTGGCATTTGTTTATTTAATGACCCCTCTGCTACAGTATTGCAGTACAACTATAACATATCATCCAATATCATTTTACTCCCTTGTTATGATGTAGAAAAAGAAGGTATCAGGCAAAAGATGTTGCCCTTTGGATTTTCTAAAAATTCAATTCATGAAGGGATACATTGTGTGCTTATTAAATTTGTGGGTGCCACAAAGCTAGATGTCAGTCAGTATTCTAAAAGATCTAGAGGCTAGATCCTAAAAGGCTAGAATGATGAACTAAATTTAATAAGATGATATTTAATTGGGACATATGTACAATTTTTGGGAGCTGCTTTGTGTCTTTAAAAGAGCTTTGCAATTTTCTAAAGATAGTCTAGCCTCTCTTCTGTTGAATTCTGGGCCCAACTCATTGTCCATTTGTACCTAAATATACATATTGGTGCACAAGTTCTATAGATTATCAGTTCAACAGCATGTCATAATCTGAGTAATAGACATTTTTCATCCACTTATTCTGTTGTGTGTGGGTGTTTAGTGTATGGTCTTGTGAGTGGTTCATGGATCTCTTTCGAAGGGCTCTACAGGGTTTTGGGGCTTGATTCAGCTAGTTCAGTGTCCACCAATGGGAGTATCTAGAAAATCTTACCATTTGCTGGCAATCTCTCTTTAAATTGGAGTCTACTCCTCCATCATAGAAGGAACCACATACATCTGTCTGTTTGTGTCTTGCTTAATGTTTATAATCAGAGGGTTGTTGAACTAGAATTATTTCTGTTACATCTTTCAAAAACTTTGAATGGTTTTGTTGTATTAGGGGTATTATAGTCACCTTTCTGGACTAGCCTTTAAGTCAGAGATTCTTAATCTTTTTTGTGTCGTGGACCCCTTTGGCTATCAGAATGTTTTTAAATGCCTAAAATAACATATATAGAATTACAAAGCAAACCACTTATATTGAAATAAAAATCACTTTTCCCCCATCCAAGTTAATGGATCCCTTGGAATCTATTCATAGCCTCCTTGATGAACTTGAAGATTCACTGAATCTCTCACACCAGAAGGAATGAGCTTAGCATAAAGACTTTGTTTTAAAATGGAAAAAAAAGATGTGCATGTGCTTGCCAGCTTTTGCATGTATATGCAAGATTCCATCTCTTCCATGTCCATGCCTTTGCACAAGGTAGTACCCATGTCTGTGTGCTTCCTCCCTCACTCTGACTTCTGCCTCCACCTGCCTTACTTCCTTTAAACCCAGCTCAGTGCAACCTCCTCCTCACGTCCTTTCTAGATTGACCTAGTTGTTACCTCTTGTTTAAAATTACTTTATATTATTTTGTATATACTTTGTATGTACTTACTGTATGTGTGTGTGTCTGTGTGTGTTGTGTTACCCACCCACCCCTAGAACATAAGCTCCTTAAGAGCAAAGATTACTTTACTTTTTGGCTTATCCTCAGTATCTAACACAGAACCTTGAATATGGCAGGTACTTTATAAATATTTATTGAATTAAAATAGGTATGTGATTATATGTGTATACATAAGTCAGTAAAACATTTGAACCAGGAACCAAATTAATCAACATGCTTGGAGAAAATTAGTTTGGCTGTAATATGCAGGTTGCATTGGAGATAAGAGACTAGAGAAAGGGAGCCAAGTCAAAAGGTTGTTGTAGTATATGACGTTATAAAAACAAGATTTTTTTTTGGTAAGGTTAAGAAAAATCCAACATGAGAAACATGCCCTCCTCCCTTTTAAAATCATGTAATTCATGGTGACACATTTAATCATCCTCTGACCAGGTGGAATGAGATATTGATAAAGAAACTTTTTTTCATGTTTTCTTCCTACAGGTATTTTCATTTTCTTGTTAATAGTTCAGTTTAAGTATTGTAAAACTTAATTGTGCTGAGTTCTGTTGGAAAAAGTTAACTAATGTAAAAAAATAGCATGTGGTTTATTTTTATGTATATATCTTGTTTCCCCTTTAAATTGTAAGTTCTATGATGACACTTACCCCGTATTGAATTTTTTTCTAAATTCTCCCCAACTTTAACACAGTGCCTTTTACATAGTAATAACTCAACAACTATTTCTTCAAATAGAAAATATTGATAGAAAAAATAGCTGAGTATTTTTTTTTCATTCCTCATTCTCATCCATAATTGAGAAAAGTGTCCTACCATTTTAAAATTCTAAATCAGAAACCTTTCATGGGAAACTTTAGGGAAAACATTTAACTTTAACTTTAGGGAAACATTTTATTTCTTTTAGTGTATAGGAGATCAATCAATTCAATTTTTGTCCTTTTTGTAGTGGCATGTGAAAGAACATTGGCTTGTTCCACCTATCACCTTATCTTCTGAAGACCACGTATTTGAAAAGTTAGAAGCAATTATTGATGAGGAGAATGACATGCTTGATCTGGCCTGTGGACTAACCATCATGTAAGATTTTAGGACTATTAGAGGTCTGAATAAAAGGTAAGGGGCTATAAAATCATTTATTTCCAAGGCTAGACACGTGAAAATAAGATCTCCTTCACCTAACCCATTATACTTACAGTTTAAGTAGGATGATTTGGCATTTCTATTGGCTGAATTAGAATCATAAATATTTGTAAATGGTTATCAGTTTTAGATTTCTCAGTATGGTAAATTTTCATTAATTGAAATCATTTATTTGAAGTTTTGTGGTAATTTATTTTGACTGGATTTATATACATACATACATACATAGATATGTACACATGCATAGAAATACGCACACATATTGTGTTATGCTTTCTCTCTACATGTATCTGTATATAAGTGTTCAGTATAGGATGAACACAGTAACAGAGCAAATTTGAATTGAGAGAATACTTATGACTTTTTAAGGAACATGCTGATAACTGTAAATAATTTTTATCTGTTCAAAAATCTCTACCACACAACACTTTATCAGCAAAGTTATTTTTCGTTCCAGTCAAAATTGGAGTTCTACAAAGTTTTAGGATGCATATCGTTAATGAAGTTCATTTAATATTTAAATATATATGTGACTCTATTTATAAATCACCTTTTTTCAAAGAAAAATTAGGAATAGATCTGGGACAAAAACAATTTAAAGAAAGAACATCTTAATCCTTTCTTGTTAGGAAGTGAGACAAGACCATAGTGGGAAATGTCTTTTTTCTTTAGGATTTCAAAATAAAGCAATATACCTATGGTTGTTATATCCTCTGTATTTTCAGGAGCCATAATCCCCAACAAATCTTTCGTCTAAAAGCAAAATATTTAGAGACTGTTCAAGCCATGGTGCTAAGTTGTTTCTGAATATTTTCTAATGCACATAGTAATAAGTAATTCCCAATCATCTCTGCCTGGGCAAGACCCAGTTATCATTAGAGTGCTTCAGCAGGTCAGATAGCAGTGTTCGGGTGTCTGAAGGACACAGTGACAGGGCAGAATGCAGCTAACCTCTGAAGATACAATCCCTCAGACTAAAGGTAGGTTGATCAATTGTTTTAGAGGGGGTGGTACACTCAAAATTCCAAATTGATTTTAGAATTGTACCAATTCTCAACTCCAACAACAGTGTATTAGTGTGTCTACCTTTTGCAGCCTTTTGGATATTGATTATTTCTATTAAAGACAGGGCCTTATCTTCATTCCTGTTCAGTTACTTCTTGGTTCTGTCATCATGCCAGCTTAGGGAACTCTTTTTGAATATTACTTTGCCATTCGTTGTATTAGTCTCTTGCTCCCAGCTTTGTGTCATCTGCTATTTGTTAAGCTGGCTTAGGCTTTCATCCACATAATTGATACAGGCCAGCGAGGCCTAAGTAAGTGAGAAAATCCCTTAGAGTAAGCACAGAGTGGAATAAAAGAGCCAGGGAAAATATCTCTCGGAAGACCCAAATACAGCCTCTGGTTGATGTGGTTGACTGGGAAAGTGAACACAGGCGAAAGACAGATAGTAAGAGCTGGATGTGCTTTAGGAAAAATAAGCGAACCTGGCAGGTAACATAGTCGTACTGAGTGAAAGGAAGTTTGTGGTAAACCAGAGACCCAAAGAAACAGATCTACAGAAGTTGGAAGAAAAAATCCAGTGGGAAAAATAATCCCCAAATCAGGATAGGTAATGTTTCCCTGTCTCTGCCACTCTCTTTCCTCATTAGCCCCGACCAATTCTAAAAGGAAAGGTTCTAAAGCCCTGCTTCATATGTTTTCACTTCCCTTTCCCATTCCCTTTACTTGCATTGACTTTCATGTCTGGGGACAAGAGGGACTAGGATGGTAAACCTTTTTCTCACAGTAACCTTAGCTGTATATCCAAGATGGGATATGACACCAAAGTGCCACTGTTGGCATGGGATTTTGTTGTTCACCCTTTTTCCTTGAAGAGGACCCATGACATCATGGAAAGAGTGTGGACTTGGGGTTTGAGAATCCTTGTTTAAATCTCAGCTCTTAAAGATACTGGCTATGTAATCTTGGCAGGCTATTTTACCTTTATGAGCCTCAGTTTCCTCATATGTAAAATGGAGATAATAATACTGATGTCACCTTTCCCCTAGAATTGTTTTGTCAGTCAAATAAGGTAAACTATGAGGAGTGCTTTGCAAACAAAACTCAACATAGATGGTAGTGCACAGTGGCAAAGTTGAAATAGCCCTGGATTTGGAGTGAGAGGACCTGGATTAAAATCCTGGCTCTGTCACATATTACCTCTATGTCATTTAACCCTATCTGTATGTAGCACTTGCAGGGTGCCACCCAGCTCATATGTAGATTGCCTCCTCCCACTCCTACCCTCAGACAAGGTATCCTAAGTTCAGGGTGCTTACTTGGTCTACATTTGCACAAAACCACAGTTCACATGACACCCTCTGTTCCAAATAAATTTCCTTTTACTGGTCATCCAGAGGGTACAGTTAATTCAAAGCAAAGGCATTTAAGTATATTTTTAAAACATAAAGCTAGATCTTGATTAGTGTAAATAGTGAAACCTGTGAACGGTTCCTACATTATTGAAATTCCCCCTGTTCAAAGTTATAAATTATATGTGAAATACAGCAATAGTTCTGACCAAATGGAAATGGGAAATTAAAATTTTTAAAAATAAGTTTTGTGTCTCTTTATTAATGTAATAAAACAGCAAAGGATAAGGAAAATTTATTTCTGCTCCAAGTTTACTACAAAGTAATAGTTACAAAAAACAAAATTATAAAAAATTTTAAAATTACTGCATATCATACCTAAAGATAAGCCTATATTGATGATATAATAAAACATTGTCATTTAAAATATTTTAGCAGGGTAGAATCAACTGTCTTTTCTTTTAGTCTTTACACATAAAGTAATAGATGCAGAGAGCTTTATCCAGGACTCCAAGAATCTGCATGCTCACATTATTACAGTGATGTAAGTCTGTGTGGATGACCTGGGGCATTGTCTCAAATTAGTAATGTCTTAAATTTGATGTTGTTGTCCTTAAAATATTTCTCAACAAACATCTGGGCTAAAAGAACTTGAAAATCAGTTTTCAAATCAGCTCTAGTCCCCCACATTTTCTTATGGGACTACCAAAGACCAAGAAGTGATCAATGACTGTAGTCTCTGAGAAAGTGAGAATTTTGAGACTGATGAAGGAGCATTAGTTTTTCTTTACGATCCTCCTATGCATTGTCTCCTAAAAAAAGTATCAGGCAATCCTTAGATACTTTAAATTCCGGTTGAGGTTTTTCTTTCTTTGCAATGTAAGTTCTAGAAGTTACACTTTTCTAGTATTTCTCTTTCATCCACATTAAAAATTTATTGATCAGTATATCCATCTTTTTCAATTATTTTCTTTTAAGAAATCAGGATATTTGACTGATGCATCCTCATCTGCCTTTGATGCCTCCCTGGTATTTTTACCATTAGGCAACTGAGGTGGCACAGTGGTTGGAGTGTAGGCCTGGAGTCAGAACACCTCATCTTCCTGAGTTCAAATCCGGCCTCACACGCTTCCTAGCTTTGAGACTGTGGCCAAGTCACTTAAACTTAACCCTGTTTGCAATAGTTTCCTTATCAGTAGAACGAGCTGGAAAAGGAAATAATGGCAAACCACTCCAGTATCTTTGTTAAGAAAACCTCAGACCGGATCATGAAGAGTTGGACACATCTGAAAAACAACTAGACAACAACAACTGCACTCAATTTTTTAATTATTAAAGCAGTTAAACCAACCAACACTTGCAGTGAGTTTCTTCACAATCTACTTCTTTTAGATTTTCTTTAACTGCCTTAAATAAATTAGAAATTTTATCTGAATGTCTGCTGTGCTAAGAGGAATGCATATTTCATTGTAATCTTCATTCCGTGTAGCTTACAGATGCTCCATTTCTTGCATTGTGACACTTCTGTTATTTGTAAACAATGAAAAGCTGGTACAACTTTGCCTCTTTCTTTTATTTCATCTTTATATTTTATAATATTCCATACAGCAGATTGAGTCATTCCATCCAGTCCTATTATAGTGTTATCATGACCACATTCATGCTATTTAATTACATCAAATTTTTGTTCTAATGTAATAACAAAGCTCTTCTTTTTTGCACTGGCAATGTTTCCGTCTGCAGTATTCTTTCTTTTTTCCAGTTTATTAAAGTCTTTAAAAAAATTAATACAGCTGCTAGTGATATGGTAGACAGCAGTGTAACACATCTATATATGGTGATAATGAAATACAGACAAATGATAGAGCAGCATGTTATAAACTGTCAGCCAGCTCTCGGGAATCTCCTGAGCTGAATTTTGGGCTCACATTCAGTGCTACCTGGTATCATCTTATAATTAGCACTAACTTGAATTTTACATGATTTGAATTTGCAATAACTGCAAACTAGATGTAGCAAAAGAGCATTTTCCTCCATAAACTTGGGGCACTATCTCCCATAAATATATATGACACCAGCAGGAAGAATGGACACATATAGGGAACACACATGAAGAGTGAAACATGTAGGGAATATTTGTGATGAGGATGCACACCTAGGGCTCACCGATGCTCAGGCTGCATTTCTGGAGGGGACAATTCATGCCTCAAATGCAGTGGGGTAACCAGCATTTTCTGGTTAGGTCATCATATTGTGTTCTTTGGGCCTTTTTTCTGCTGATTTCAAATAGCATGAAGTCTCTGCCAGGTATGTGGGTATATTATGTACCCAGCCATGCCAGGCACAGTGCCCTGCTGGCCTGACAGGAGTACTTCAGGATTGTCCTTTGCTGGTTCTAGTGTTAGAGCGTGTCGTTGCCAGACATGGCATATATAAGACATGAGTCTCTCTGTTTCTTGTTTCTAACACAAGCTGTCGTCTTCAGTGCTACCTCTTCTTAAGAGGAAGAATGAGGTCGATATCTCTTTTAGCTTTGAACCCAGAGGCATAAGCTTTAGCTCTCAGAAAAGCAGGACTCTTACCATGTAGTCATCACATTAGGGAAAAAGCCTTGCATCC